ACTAAAACCATGGTGATCTCAAGAGAGGAGAAGAAACACCAGATCATGATGGGTCAGTATGCGTTGGAGCAGGTTAACCAGTTCAAATACCTTGGAGTTGTATTAGACCAAAATGGAGGCATTAAGACTGAGCTGGCTACACGAAAAGCAGCTGCTGGGAGACTCTTCCAGGCCATAAACCGAGGGTTTCTTAGCAAAAGAGAAATTGGCAAGAGGACGAAAATGGCTGTTTACCGCTCTACCTATGTACCAGTCCTGACCTATGGGTGTGAGTCATGGGCAATGACAACAGCTCACAGAAGCCAGCTGCAGGCCTCGGAAATGAGATACCTGAGAAAGGTGGTCCAAGTGACAAGAAGGGACAAAGTCCGCAATCAGACAATACGTCAAGATCTTGATACCCAGCCCTTACTAACCCGAGTGGATCAGTCACAGTTACGATGGTTTGGACATGTGTGCAGAATGGGAGAAAATCGGCCACCATGGCAAGCATGGGAGGCTAAGAACCAGGGAACCAGACCTCCGGGACGACCCAGGGTGCGCTGGGAAGACAACATCCGACAGTCCCTGACTGACAGAGGACTGGAATGGAACAAAGCCAGAAAGAAAACTGCTGATAGAGACGTCTGGCGATCTCTCTGGCAAACCTCTACACCCCAAGGTAGAAGAGGAGCGACTAAGTAAAAGTAAGTAAGTAAGTAAAGAATGCTAATAATAAGATGATGATACTTTAATAACACACTTTTTAAAACTAATTGACTCACCTGGAACTGTGCAGCGGACTTAGCTGTGAGTACTGCATATCACTAATTTTGTCAGCTAGTGTGCTCACAGATGATGAATCTCTAAAGATACCCAAGATGAATCAGATTAAAGCAATTACAGATCAGTTACATCTTAAGGTAGAAAGCAAAAAGGAGTTCAAAACAGTAAGCAAAAAAAATAATTTTTAAAAAATTTTAAATTGCATTTTTTACAGAAAAAAATCTTAATTTATTTTTAACCAATTTATTCACAATTTGTTAATAAATTACTTCTTCTATGACCAAATCAGTGTCAGTTTTTGTTATTCCATCCATCCTAGACAGTTAGAACTTTTACCAAACAAATAATTCAATGACTGTAGCTTTAAATATTTATCTGGCTCAAAATCATTCAGTCCCTGAAAGTCCTTTTAACCAGCGTGCAATAAATGTTACACTACATGTTTCTTTGCTTTAACAGATTAAATCCCAGACAATCAATACTTCTTCAACCTATCAAAATTCTTTTTATTAGAACTCTGTAAGACAGGACTGGTTGCAGAACTACAACTGTTTTCGATGCCCTCATGAGACCACATGAATGCAGTTTCTTCATATCTATGTCACATTTTTCTTCAGATATTACTGCTTGGCCCACAAACTGAAAACAACTGAACTTTATGCCCCCCCCCCCCTTACAATATTGGAATTTGTGCTTTCGCAAACTCTATCATGCATTCTGTTTTATTATCTTAACTTAAATTATTAGTTATTTTACTGCCTGAGACTTAAAAGTTACAGTAACAATAGCTAGTGCAGAAAGAGTTACAGCTCTTCTTAGATAACATTTGATAATTTAATAAAATCATAAAGAAGAAATGCCACCTCACCCTTTCTTGTTTGTACTGCTATCTGCTTGACAGATCTGGTTCAATAACTCAGTAACTGTCTCTTCAGTTGTTCCAGGAAATAATATATGAAGGACGTCTATAAGTACACTGCGACTAAACTTTCCAATTTTCACAAGTCTGCTTAGGAGTTGGATTTCCTGAAAGTTATAATTTTGATACTAAACATGACAGATCAGTCACAGAAACTGAAAAACTAAAAGTTATTGTAAAAATTTCCAAATCTATATATATAAAAATCAATGTTTGTGTGTTTGTTTGCCCCCTATAGACTCGGAAACTACTGAACCGATTTAGCTGAAATTTTCAGGATATGTTTGTTTTGATACCGGATTTTGAACCATCGTGGTTTGAAATTCAACCTGTCACTGTTAGAGATAGGTGACCACAATTTATGCCATAATATCCGAAACTAATATTTATACCTTTAGTGATTTCTAATTATAGCCACGTTAGTAATTGCGCATGCGCCGTAGTTACCATTCGCCGGCGAGTTACGTGCAGCCAACGCCTTCTCTAATACATAGAGTAGGTCGTGGTACAGCAAACAAGACTATCTCTATATTTGCCACAATAACCATATTAAACACGATTTCTATTTTCTGTTTTTTTTTTCAAACAACCTTCGATTGGGGGGGAGAAGGGGGGGGGGGGGGCAATCAAGGACTATCTTGATGTCGGCGCAGACAGTGACTGCGACAATTACTTCATTAACCGTGTTAGACACGTGCGATTTCTATTGTTGTGCCGTTTCATTAATATATCTGGAGTATCTGTCTACGAGAAAACAATTGCCTGCGGTTTTGAATTGTGTTTTAATGGCGACACAGTAGTAGGGACACACATTTCTGATAGTTAAGTTCTTTTTTCGTTGATCCGATTAAGTGGCTGCTTGGTCGAATGGTTAAAACACTGGGTTCCTGTGCGGGAGACCTGGGTTCGAATCCGCAGCAGTTAAATTTTTTTTAACCCCGGACTAAAATAATATCCTCATCTGCTCTGTCGTGGTGACAGCACTAACCATGTTGCCTTAAAAAGTAAATGGGTAAACCATTTGATAATTAAATTTGACTATTTCGCATACTTATGATTGCATTTTTATACTTTCCGATTGCATGGTTACGCTGAAATTTCATAGATTTTCATTTTTTTAAATTTAGATTTAGTTATTTCATCTGCGTTGGAATTTTAAGCTGTGCTGTTTACCATGGCGTTCATTTCCTAATTATGGTGTTTTTTTCCTGTGTTCATTTGCTTTTCAAGTTTTTTTTTTTCTCCCAACTACTTCAATGAGGGAAAGAGTTGTGGGTGAATTTAGGGGGGGGGGGGGGGGCAAACTATTAACTGAGAGAGCTTTAAGTCACAATAACTGCTTTACCCACTTAAAGTAGCAGCAGCAGTAATAGTTGTGGTTGGGCTGTTACACCATAGTGCTCTCATGTGAAGACCGCCGGTAAGGTTATGGCGTTCTTCTGTCGGCAAGTGAAATTATACATCCTAACCTGACCAGTCTGTGGCGACAGCACTAGCCATGCGAAACCAAATCTTCTGGCTCACGACTCTCTGTCTACTCCGATGGTAACATAGATAGCAGTGACATTATTTTAGTAGTTGTACTGGTACTTGAAGGATGATGTGGTAAATATTACACTAGCCCCATTCACTACCTATTACAATTCCTGCTCCCTATTTTAGTCCAGATGGACAGGGATGTCAATGTCAGTTACAGCAACAAAAAAATATCACCAGGTAGTGATTTTCAAATCCTTTGAAGAGGGAGAGAGCAGTAGTCGGTAGAAGAGGGGAGGGGGTAATGACTTAAATTTAAGAGAACTTAAAGAGCTTTACGCGTGATTTTCAAGTTCTCATTACCTAATTTGTTTATATTTTAATAACGCTACCTCCGCTTTTCTATTTTTTACGACTTACTTTGTTATTCACAAGTACAGCTGTAGCTTTACTTCCGTCCCATATAAAAATACAAACAGCTTTAGCATGTGATAACCAAATAACCATTTTTGTTACTGTGCTAATAACACCATTTAAACGACCACTAATATAAGACACAATTATAAGGTGCGTGTTCTAAAGTTGGAAAACCAGACTATCTCTATATCTGTGCAGAGAATGATTGCGACATTAACTATATTAGACACGTGCGATTTCCATTGTCTTTCTTTTCCAAAAACTTTTGATGAGGGAGAGAGTAGTAGGTGGATTTAGTTGTGGTGGTGGTGGGGGGAGCGCGGATCAAAGACTATCTCTATATCTGAGCAGACAATGATTGTATTAGACACGTGCGATTTCTATTTTCTTTCATTTCCATTTAGCCAAACTATGCCACAGCAACACGTGGCCGGGTACAGCTAGTATATTTATAAAAATCAACATGTGCCATGTCAATAAACATAGGCTGCCATGTTTCGCCATCCCACACATGACCAGAATCATGGATAAGGTCGAGTTCTTGTCTCAGCCCATCCGTATGGCTAGGCCATCCAGACATTAAACTTTTTTGTTTGCCCTTCCCTTGCTTTCTTTCCATTAATTTTGCCAGTCATCACTGATTTCAAGAGTTGATTCCTTCTCATATGTCAAAAAATGCTGACTATATTTAATTTTTCCAATCACTTTATTACTCTTTGTACTCTCCAGGTGATACAGTTCAAATCTGCATCGAGACAGGTTTTTGTCTAACATTGATCTTAGCTCACAGGTCAACTTAACCTAAAATGAGTATCAAATAATGAACTGGGAAGTAAAGTAGGCCAACATGATTTTGACCACATTTGCCATCAAGTGTGATTAATCTGTAAAAATTATAGGTCTAGCCCTATATACCCAGTAAACCTGAAAGACATAAAAAGGGTCCTTTACTTTTTTTAACTGTTTACTATATGTCTGATGAGCTGAAGGCATGAGAAATTGTTCTTTACTTTGCTTACTTTATTGTTCACATTGCTACATTATCCCACTCTGCCCCAGTTGTCACTTTAACTCCCTCTGTCTCCTGGTGTTATCATTTTAATTTTTAAAGTCCAAACATTTATTAATTAAAATAACAACATGTAAAGACATAATGAGTTAAAGTAAAACTTTGCTGAAGTTGAAACAGTTAAGAGGTTAGCTCTGTGGCAAACTGGTAAAGCCATCTGCCTTCCATTCTAAAGGTCAAATTTTATTTTCAGGCTATGTTTTTCGATTCACTAGTGCAGTTGTTTCAGAGATCCATGAAGAGGACTGAAGCCTAGAGGCGAGCAAACAGCCAGAACTTTCTGTCCGAATTTACAGCTGGTGAACTCAAAGAAGAAGAAGAGTATGAAAAAGAAAATTTACAATCAAACTTCACCTTTGTTTGAATAGCTGTCCATTTCTGTATCTCAAAATCTCTTCTAAAACTTTCCCTTCTTTGGCTGATTTCCCTTTGCATTTCATTTCTAATTAAATGAATAAATGAATAAAATAAAACAACAGTACTGCATACACATTTATCACAATAAAATAACAGTTTGGCAGGGTATTTTAAAAGTCACATAATAATCTGTCCTCATTATAATCAGTGACAAACTTAGCATCTAGGATGTAATTAAAACACATTTTTTATCCCAAAACCCCATCTGTCAATAACAGGATTACTTTGATGGATGCAATTTAGCCAAAGTCTTTCATTAGTAACTATTAAGTGTGTAATTAAATACACGTTTCCCAGATGTTATTAAATTAACAGATATTTTACAATAGAGCGGCATCCGAGGCTAAAGTGTTGCAAGTCTTGACTCGTAATCCAAAGTACGGCGATCGAAACCCACTGCTGGCTGTGTGGATTTTTATCATGGGATGGGGCGTCGCAGGTCGACCCAGCCTAAAATGGGTACCAGGATGGTTGTCCTGGGGAAGTAAAGATGGCCAGCGTAATGCTGACCACATTACCCATCGAGTGCCGATTGGGCTGTAAAAATATGGGACGCTCTTCCCATATGCCCAATGCGCCTAAGGCGTGAAAAGGGATCTTTACTTTACTTTACTTATACAATAGCAGACAAGGTGGCAGCATGGTTAGTGTGACTGACTGCTATTATTGTCGTAGCTACAGAGCACATGCTCTCCGATAATAGTGTCTTCTTCTACTGGCTTGAAAACCAGCTGCACACACTTGTCGGGACTATAACAGACTCACTAAGCTTAGTGAGAAAGGTGGAGTCAAGTAAGCTCTGTATAGAGTGGCAAGCATCGCTGCAGATATCCCTTTCAACTAGCGGGCTTTGGATTTTTTCTCCAGGGTAATGATATGTGAGAGGAATGAACAGACTGGCTGTTTCTGCACCACTTGGTGGTAAACTGATGCAGCTAGCTGTGGTCAAGGCCCTAGGTAGTGCCTGAACATTGGGCAAACAAAATAAATCAACCCAGTCTGAAGAGAATGGTGCAACAAAGAATGACAAGCAGATCTGATCAAGGCAACACAAAAACAAGGAATTATACCACCAGGCTGTTAATGGTACCATCATAATTGGTTTCTTTCTTTCTTTCTTTCTTTCTTTCTTTCTTTCTTTCTTTCTTTCTTTCTTTCTTTCTTTCTTTCTTTCTTTCTTTCTTTCTTTCTTTCTTTCTTTCTTTCTTTCTTTCTTTCTTTCTTTCTTTCTTTCTTTCTTTCTTTCTTTCTTTCTTTCTTTCTTTCTTTCTTTCTTTCTTTCTTTCTTTCTTTCTTTCTTTCTTTCTTTCTTTCTTTCTTTCTTTCTTTCTTTCTTCTTCTACCTCTTCCTCCTTCTTCTTTCTCTTTCTTCTTTCTCTTTCTTCTTTTTCTTCTTCTTCTTCTGTTTCTTCTTCTTCTGTGTTTCACTTTAAAAGTGTGATTGGCACACCATGTTGTGATTTAAAGGTAGGCTGCGATTTCTACACCTTTAGGCCTGTAACATTTGATTTCAGCAAACCCTTAATCAATTGCCTTTTTGGTATGCTTTTTAAGGTCTGTTCTGTTTTCCCTCTAAAAAGGGGTCCCAGAAACCACACAGGGATAAACATATTTGGTATCTTAAAGTTGTGTCTCTAGCAGGTTTAATAACCAAATCGGAAAGGTATTGAAAAGGATCTGACCAAACTAGCAATCCCCTGGGGATTGGGCAAAGGGTTGAGAACTCATTACTGTACACACACACACACACAATAATAATAATACTTTATTATGGAAAAATGGATTGAGTGAAATAAAAAAAGAAATGTGGATGAACTGAGGAAAGCTGAAGAAAAACAATAGAACAGAAAATAAAGAAGTGTGAACAAACATAAGATACCACAGGCAGAGCAACAGCAGACAGGCAACAGTGGAGATCACTTGTGTGTGCTTTATGTGTCAACAATAACATGAAGAGGATTTAGATAGATCTTACTTTTCATTCAGGGATTTTACCTGAATTTCTCCAGCTCCACAGCATGTTTATGTTTGAGGAGAGCACATTTGAATTTGGCACTAGCTTTATTAGCAGTGGCTTTCAAGAAATGGTCAATCTCCTCCTTTTGATTCTGAACAACTGACTGCTGCCTCTGAATAAGGAGCTGCTTATATTTTAACAAGAACGCCTGATGGAAATAAATAAATGTTATAATGTATCAAAAGGCTAATAAAATTGTAATTAATTTTGGTGTAAATAATGAGGTGATCTCAGTCAGCAAATCTAATTTTGTTTGTTTTGTTTCTTTACATTTAGAATGTAAATGCTACAGATGCATTTTAAAAATGAGTTATTTAGAATACAAAGCTAATAAACATGTCATAAACAAAATATACAAATTTGCGGGACATCAGGGGCCTCTCCTGGCAGTGGTGAGATGTTGCAAGCTGGCTTGGTTTGGGCACGTGTTGAGACATGATTCGATTGCAAAGACTACTTTAAGAAACACTGGGGGGTAGTTGAAGATGAGGAGAGCAAAGAAGAATCTGGAATGACAACATCAAGAAATTGACAGGACTAAGTTATCATATGGCTATCCTTCGAATAACGGGCACAAAAGATGGCGTCTGCAAAAACATTGTAACAGAGCCTCAGTCATGTGTCAATTGTGCACTTTACCGCAACTCAATTAGTGGTTTTCCGGCAACTACCGCCACCGCCAAGAGTCCCCCACTGACTGGGGTTGATTTATTTTGTTTGCACAATGTTCAGGCACTACCTAGGGCCTTGACCACAGCTAGCTGCATCAGTTTACCACCAAGTGGTGCAGAAACAGTCAGTCTGTTCATTCCTCTCACATATCATTACCCTGGAGAAAAAATCCAAAGACCACTAGTTGAAAGGGATATTTGCAGCGATGCTTGCCACTCTATACAGAGCTTACTTGACTCCACCTTTCTCTCAAAGCTTAGTGAGTCTGTTATAGTCCTGACAAGTGTGTGCAGCTGGTTTTCAAGCTTCTGCATCTTCTGCAGCTTTGCTCGTGAGTCCTAGCCATCTAGTTTAGCCCCAATCCATGCCACATGAGCGGCCTGGGGGACTCTTGGCGGTGGCGGTAGCCGCCGGAAAACCACAAATTAAGTAGCCGAAAGTGCGCAATTGACACGTGACTGAGGCCCTCTTTTTGGCCGCCATCTTTTGTGCCCGTTGTTCGGGGATATCCTATCATACACTTATTCATCAAGTGGAGAACAGAGAAAGATGGCAGGTTTCATTTGCTATTACTTCTATCAATACACCTCCACTACCCTAACAGGTCAAGGGTTATGTTATGTTATGTTTTGTTTCTGGATCACTGTCTACTGCCTCAGTTTGAGAAGTTAACTGTACTTCACCATGACTTCACCTATTAGGAGAAAATGATAAAATGTTGTTATGATGTAGAAAAGTTAATAAAATTTAAAGAATGTATGTGTGAGGTAAAATAGATCAGCAGATATCTTTTTCTTTTTCTTTCTTTTCTCTAGATCCTGTTTTGTCTTTCATTGTCAGCATTTGAAGGGGCATCTTGTGCAAGCCTTGGTGCTTGCTATGTGGATGATGGTATATATAGATATTCCTTCTATTCAGTCTGATAGATGCTACCTAACTTCATAGGCCTTCAGTGAGAGATCTCATCTCAATGAGCAGATGTGATTTAGCTGATTTCGTGAATAGAAATTGAGTATACTTAGGAATCTGAATATGCACAACTGTGAACAGAACTGTTAAAATAGAAAATGGATAGAGAACATTGCCTGACCAATCTGTAGCTCATTTGACTCATTTTATGCTAACCTTTATGCTCAATAATAAAGTCAGACTGTACACTTGCTTTTCCAGGCAGGTTAAACCATATTTTCCTATTACAAGTCAGTTTCCAATTTAGATTTACAGTAATGAAAATCTTGAATTATTATTTAGTTAGACTTACCATGGAAATAAAAAGATAATATAAAGTTAAAAAAATAATGTGGACAAAATGAAGCAAAAATAAAATGAAAGATATGCAACTAACAGTAATTTTTTATTCCCTTTGTAATCATATGATAATGATGCATTATGTATGTACTTAAATTTGCATATCGTCACAAAGATAAGAGATAGAGAAAATGTAATTCTTAATCTAACATTAAAGATACTCACTTACTTCTCTTCTTAAATGGAAAAAGACAACAGGAGATAGTCCATAGCATCAGTGCACAGCTTTCTGGCTTGTGTATTTCTGATCATATATTCTTGCATTCCCATCATTTCAAATCATCCAACACCTTCTCCTTTCAGTCTTACCCTGGAGCTTTCCTGCTAACCGCAGTTTTCCATTTCTCACAACATGTCCAAATAATGTAGATTGTCTCATGGTGCAAAAAATCAGTTCTCTTTCTGAGTTGTTTTCAAAACATTTTCATTACACATTTTATCTGGCCATTTTGTTCTCATCATTCTTTCACAAAACCACATAACTGTCAACAGAGATGACCCCACACTGTAAGTCAACCTGTTCCTCAGTAAATCCTCAATAGATCCTGCAGTGTGTAGCCGACAATAGCAGGACTTTGTTTATGTACTTCTTCTTCTTCGCGTTCACCAGCTGTACACTCTGGCGTAAAGTTCTGGTTGTTCGTCCACTTCTGGATTGCAGTCCAGCTCCAGAACCTGAGTGTTGTGTGTGCATCAGTTTTACAGATCTGATTCAATTGAATGCAGACTGCTGGTTCCTTGCCTCTCAGGCAGATGCACTCCGACTTCAAAGGAAGCTCCCCAGTTAGTCGACTCTTACGACATGCTTTTGGGGAGGCAGTGGGTCTATTCTTGTTTTTCCCACAATAGGGCCCCGGAACCCACACTGGGGTGTTTATGTACTATTCTTCTTTAGCTTTCTGAACAGCGATCTTTTCTTACAGCACTCCTTTTAACATGCTGTCCTTGCAATGTGGTCATGCCTGTAGATTCACAATCATCACTTGATAACCTTCTCACTTTTATCATTAGCTATAAAATGGATATTTTATATGCCCAGAAAGAAAAGGTAGAAACATATATTTTTGACAGCATACTGTTACAATAAAGTTTACTAGTAATTTCAAATATATAATGTAATGAAACAAATAATAGAACCTACTTCTTCATTAATTTTCCTTTCAACCTCAATTTTATGGTTTAGTTCATCATGCTCCTGTGAGAAAACAAAAGCATACAATTATGTGTATATGTCCACCCCCTTGTACTTCCTGTGTAATTTTCCCTCATGATGTCTCAACAGATCAAATGTCAAGATTACCACCAAACAGTGCACCACAGAAAACCCTCTCACTCAGACATAATGGAAGCAAATCTAGAGGTCAACTACATAAGCAATGAATAGATGGTATATCCTAGGCCGTGAATACCAGCATCTACATACCACATAGCAAGGCTCGCACCAATTGGCTCTTTTAAAACCAGAAGTTGAAAAGCAGAACAAGGCTAGAAAAGGAAAAAGAAGAAGAAAAAGAAGAAGAAGAAGAAAAGGAAGAAGAAGATGAAAAAGAAGAAGAAGAGAAAAGAAGAAGAAGAAGAAGAAAAAGAAGAAGAAGAAGAAATAGAAAAGGACCTCTCAACCTGTCCTTTCTCTGTCTCACTTCCTCTTTATTGTCTAACTGGTGAAAGCACATGTGAAGAAATTTGCTATTCCTGTGTGTGCATGGATTATCAAGCTCAGTTTCCCAGTATGTGAACGGATTAGCAAGCTCATTGTTCCAGTGTGTGTTAATATTTTTACCAAAAACTGTAATTTGTAAATAGTTTTTATGTAGTTTTATCACTGTCCAAATGCTGAAGGCTTTCTGGATGCAATGTTCATTTTATCACTTGTAATTTTTTTTTTTTTTTTTTTTTTTTTTGGGTTATCGTTGAAACCACTCAGTCCTAATTGTCACTTTGGTAGATTTTTTCAAACTTATATGACAGTTTTGAGGATGCATTTGTGTAAGATTTAAATTCTCTACACTTATTTGTTCTAAGGTAATCAGCTAAATGTAGCTGAGGTGAGTTACGAACTGATTTAACAGCCCTCAGAACATTCCCATAAACACTGACTACACTTTCATTACCAGCGCAGTAGAGTTTTAATACAGACTGTACAAGAAGCAGTCTGACCGTATGTCTGTCTTGCCTTTCCTCAGTTATATAAACTGAGGATTAAGATTGTTTTCAAAAACTAATGTCAGGCTTACAACTTACTCTTTTTTGATTTTCAGCTGCCAGGTTTTTTTTAACAGGCTGCTTATTGTTCTGTTCTCACTACATAAGATATCAGGAGACTTAAACTTTATAGGTCATGGAGTAAATAATAAAAATAAAAAAGACAGTGAAATTCATACCGAAGACTACACTGCAGATATAGAAGGCAGTGGTTTTTGTAACACTTTCCCAGTCCTGCTCTAGGGATAAATCTGCTAACTTCTGAGCCAAAAGTAAAGAGTAAGTAAAGGCACCCTTTCTATGCCAGTTGTGCACTGGGGCTATGATGATAAGTTCACATTTTTATAGATCAATCGGCATTCAGTGGAGGGTCAACCAAACTAAAGGCAAACATTTTGGTAAACATTGTGAAGCAGGAATGTAATGGTAGCGAGAAAACATAAGACAGACCTGTTCATGATTTCTGAGAATTTGTTTGATTCCATGAGTAGAAAGAATTCCTCTGTCACTGAGATCATCTATCATGCCCATTTTCAGTTTCATTATTGCTTTCTGCTGCTCTTCAATTTGGGTTATCTGAAATATACCATGCTACATGTTACCGCAGTCATTTAATTTGATCAGAAAACAATCTAATCATTCTCAAGTGGATCCTGGCTCACTGCGGCATACCAGGAAATGAGTACGCTATCATTCTTGCCATATGACCTAAATAATCCTGCATTATTTTACTCTTTACTGAATAGCACTGAAGTTAATTATGACATTCAAACTAATGTATTATGAGTGAGTGATGTTCAACCCCCCAGGACTACCTGATGAGCAGTAAATACCCGGTGACACAAAGTGCCAACAATCAGATGAGAATAACCCAGCTCACTGCGGCATACAAGGAAGCGGCATACAAGTAAGCAGACTTGCAACCATTCTTGCCATTTGACCTAAATAATCCTGCATTCTTTGACT